GGTGTGGGTACTGTTGACAAAGCAGAATAGTCCAACAGGGTTATTGCCAAAAGGGTGAAGAGTTTAGAGAAGGCCGGAGAAGGGAACAATCTAGGACAACATAACCGATGTGGAAGAATTCTCCAATCCAGCTCACTTTCCAGTTCAGCGATGTTGTCCTAGATTGTTCACTTCTCCTCCCTCCTCCAAACTCTTCACCCTTTTGTGAATAGCCCTGCAAGTATTTATTTTTTGTTTAATATATTTTTATTGTAATTATTATTTCATATCAACACAGTTATACCAATTTCATAAAACTTTAGACAACTCTTTGTTATTGCATCAAGAAGGGAATATTTTGCAGGGATAGGTCTATAATTTTGCCACTTTACACATCAATGGTTCGGCCTCACCTGGAGTATGCGATGCAGTTTTGGTCACCGATACTCAGAAAGGATGTCCTTGAACTGGAGAAAGTCCAGCGGAGGGCGACCAAACTCATAAAGGGGATGGAGGACCAGAGCTATGAGACACGGCTACTAAATTTAAACATGTTACGTTGGAAGTAAGAAGATTAAGGGGGGACATGATTTTCATGTACAAAATGTTCCATAGTCATAGCGACATTAGTAACAAACTCTTTAAGATTAATTCTGTAACAAAGACTAGAGGACACCACCTAAAACTGGTAGAAAAAAAATTTGAACACAAGGGGCGTAGGGGGTTCTTCTCAGTTCGCGCGGTTAGGGTCTGGAACTCGCTGCCTCAAGCGGTAATTTCCGCAATTAATCTGGAATCATTCAAGAGGCTTTTGGACGACTTCCTGAGAGACCGAAATGCACAAGGGTACAGGTACTCTTAAGAATGAGAACACTCATGGACCTATACACACACACACACACACACACACACAATAGGTTGGACTTATGTCTTTATTCAACCTCAAATACTATGTAACTATGTCATAAAAAAAAAAGAAAAAAAAACACGTTCTAATTAACAGACATCTAAAACATGGCTTCACTATCATTCATTGCCAGATCAATCCTATTACAATCCCTCCTCACTCCTAACTCAACATTCCCTCCTCTATTCTCTTTCTCACCTTCCATCCCTATCTCATATCGTCGTCTGAGACGGGGATCCACCTTATGTGTGTTATAATGTACCTCTTCCGTGATATTCCTTATTATTATCCCTACCCTCCTCCTATACATCTATCTTTCACTCTACTCGTGTGTTATCATGTGTGTGATCCCATACTACAAATCCATATACAATAACTGCTACTTGTTTGTGATGCAAACCCTTTCCTACCCTGTTCATACGTTTAGTTGTGTTATACAATTCCGTGCTGCAAATCTATATATGCAAACATCAAATTATATGGTGAAACCCCTTTATACCTATCCCCTCCGCTATTTGTGATTTTCCGTTAACCTTACTTACAGAAACCTTACAAACCTCTAAATGCATCAAATAACTACCCCCGTGTAGTGCTACCCTTTCCCTCCTGAGGTTTACTCTCTTATTATAACCCCTATCCCTCCCTTAACCTTTCCCTCCATCTCAGACGAGGATATTCC